TCTCCCTCTCCTCTCTCCTCCTCTCTCCCTCTCCTCTCCTCTCTCCCTCTCTCTCTCCCTCCTCTCTCTCCCTCTCTCCTCTCCTCTCCTCTCTCTCCCTCTCTCTCCTCTCTCTCCTCTCTCTCTCTCCCTCTCTCTCCCTCTCCTCCTCCTCTCTCTCCCCTCTCTCTCTCTCCTCTCCCTCTCCTCTCCTCTCCTCTCCTCTCTCCCTCTCTCTCCCTTCCTCCTCTCCTCTCTCCTCCTCTCCTCTCTCCTCTCCTCCTCTCCTCTCTCCCTCCTCTCTCTCCTCTCTCCCTCTCTCTCCTCTCCTCTCTCCCTCTCTCTCCCTCTCTCCCTCTCCTCTCTCTCCCTCTCTCCTCCTCTCCTCTCTCTCTCTCCCTCCTCTCCTCCTCCCTCTCCCTCCTCTCCCTCTCTCTCCTCTCCCTCTCTCTCCTCTCTCTCCTCCTCCTCTCCTCTCCTCTCTCCTCCTCTCTCCTCTCTCTCCTCTCTCTCCCTCTCTCTCCTCTCCTCTCTCTCCTCTCCTCTCCTCCCTCTCCTCTCCTCTCTCTCCTCTCTCTCCCTCTCCTCCTCTCCTCTCCTCTCTCCTCTCTCCTCTCCCTCCTCTCCTCTCTCCTCTCTCTCCCTCCTCTCTCCTCTCTCTCCTCCCTCTCTCCTCCTCCTCTCTCTCTCTCCTCTCTCTCCTCCCTCTCTCCTCTCTCTCCCCTCCTCTCTCTCCTCTCCTCTCCTCTCTCTCCCCTCTCTCTCCTCTCCTCTCTCCTCTCTCTCCCTCTCTCTCTCCTCTCTCCTCTCCTCTCCTCTCTCCTCCTCTCCTCTCTCCTCTCCTCTCTCTCTCCTCTCCTCTCCCTCCTCTCTCTCCTCTCTCCTCCCTCTCCTCTCCTCTCTCTCCTCCTCTCCTCTCCTCTCTCCTCTCTCTCCTCTCTCCTCTCCTCCTCTCCTCCTCTCTCCTCTCCCTCCTCTCTCCTCTCCTCCTCTCCCTCTCCTCTCTCTCCCTCCTCCTCCTCTCTCTCCTCTCCTCCTCTCTCTCTCCTCTCTCTCCCTCTCTCTCCTCCTCCTCTCCTCTCTCCTCTCCCTCTCTCTCTCCTCCTCTCCTCTCTCCTCCTCTCCTCTCTCTCTCCTCTCTCTCTCCCTCTCCTCTCTCTCTCTCCTCCTCTCCTCTCCTCTCTCCTCCTCTCTCCTCTCTCCTCTCCTCTCTCTCTCCTCCTCTCCTCTCTCTCTCTCCTCTCTCCTCTCTCTCCCTCCTCTCTCCTCTCTCTCCTCCCTCTCTCCTCTCCTCTCTCTCTCCTCTCTCCTCTCTCCTCTTCTCTCTCCTCTCCCTCTCTCTCCTCTCTCTCCTCTCTCTCCTCTCTCCTCTCTCATCTCCCTCTCCTCTCTCCTCTCTCTCCCTCTCCTCTCTCCCTCTCCTCTCTCCTCTCTCTCCTCTCCTCTCCTCTCTCTCCTCCTCTCCTCTCTCTCCTCTCTCCTCTCCTCTCTCCTCTCTCTCCTCTCCTCTCTCCTCCCTCTCTCCTCTCCTCTCTCTCTCCCTCTCTCTCCTCTCCTCTCCCCTCTCCTCTCCTCTCCTCTCTCTCCTCTCCTCTCTCTCCTCTCCTCTCTCCTCTCTCCTCCTCCCTCTCTCCCTCTCCTCTCCTCTCTCCCTCTCTCTCCCCTCTCTCTCTCTCTCCTCTCTCTCTCCTCTCTCTCCTCCTCTCTCCCCTCTCCTCTCCTCCTCTCTCTCCTCTCTCACTCTCCTCTCTCTCCCTCTCTCCTCTCCTCTCTCCTCTCTCCTCTCCCTCCTCTCTCCTCTCTCTCCTCTCCTCTCCTCTCTCCTCCTCTCTCTCCCTCCCTCCTCTCTCCTCTCTCCTCCTCTCCTCTCCTCTCTCTCTCTCCTCTCACCTCACTCCTCCTCATCTCCCTCTCACTCTCACTCCCTCTCTCACCCCTCCTCTCCCTCACCTCTCCACCTCCTCTCATCCCCCACCTCTCTCACCCATCCTCCCACCCACTCCCACTACTCTCACACATCCTCCACTCACTCTCCCCACACCCTCACTCACTCACCTCTCCCTCTCCCTCACCCATCCCTCCCTCACACCCCAACCCACTCCCTCACCCCACCTCCCACCCCACCCACTCTCACTCCCTCCTCCACTCTCCCCCACCTCACACCCTCCTCATCCCTCTCACCCCCACACCACCCCCACCACCACACCACCACCACACCCAACACACCCACCACCCACCACACCCCACCACACCCACCACCCCACACAACACCCCACCCCACCACCCACCACCACACCCACACCAACACACCACACAACACCCACCCCACACCACCACACCCACACCACACACCCCCACACCACCACCACACCACACAACCACCCCACCACCCAAACCCCCACACCCCCCACACCCACCCCCACCACACCCCCCACCAACACACCCCAACACCACACCACACCACCCACCCCACACAACCACCACCCCACCACCACACACCCACACAACCACCACCCACCACACCCCACACACCCCCACCCCACAACCACCCACACACCCCCACACCCAACACCCACCACCACACCACACCCACACCCCACACCAACACCCCACACCCACCACACCAACCACCCCACAACCACACCCACCACCCCACACCCAACACCCACCACACCCCACACACCCCACACCACAACACACCACCCCACCACACCCACACACCCACCCACACCACAACACCACACCACACCCACACACCACACCACACCCCCACCACACCCACACACCCACCACCCCACCACACCACCCACACCACACCACCACACCCACCCACACCCACACCACCAACACCCCACCCACACCACCCACACACCCACACCCCACCAACACACCCACACCCCACCCCACCACACCCACACCCACCCCACCCACCACCCACACCCCCCCACACCACACACCACCCACACCACAACCCCACCACCCACCACCCCACCACCCACACACCCACCACCCACACCCCACACCCACCCACCACCCCCAACCACACACACCACCACCCCACCACACCACCCACACCCCACCACCACACCCACACCCCACACCACACCCCACACCCACCCCCACACCCCCCCACCACACCACCACCACTCCTCACCCATCCCCACCCCACCCACCACACCCCCACCACAACCTCCACCCCACACCACTACCCTCCCTCACCACCTCCCACACCACCCACCACACCTCCCTCCACACCATCACCCTACCTCACCTCCCACCCACTCCACCTCACATCACCCACACCATCCCTCCCCCTCACACCACACCCTCACCACTCCCTCCACACCTCCTCACTCCACCCACCACACTCACCTCCTCACACCCCATCACTCCCACTCCCACCACTCTCACCACCACACCCACCTCCCCTCACTCCACTCCTCACACCCCCTCCCTCACCACACCTCCCACTCCCTCACCACTCCTCACCTCCACCCCTCACTCACCCTCCCCACCACCACCTCCCATCCCTCACCCACACCTCTCCCTCACCACCCCCTCACTCTCCCTCTCACCTCCTCTCCTCCTCACTCCCTCTCCACTCACCTATCACACCTACTCCCTCCACCTCTCACCTCACCTCTCACCCTCCTCTCATCTCCCCACTCCCCCTCACCACCTCTCCTCACACTCTCCCTCTCTCCTCTCCCTCTCCTCACCCTCTCTCCACTCTCCTCTCCTCTCCACTCTCCCTCATCTCCTCTCCTCTCCCTCTCCTCTCTCTCCCTCCTCTCCACCCACTCTCCCTCTCTCCTCTCCTCCTCACTCCCTCTCTCCCTCTCCTCTCCCTCCTCACTCTCCTCTCTCTCCTCCATCCCTCTCCTCCATCTCTCCTCTCATCCCTCTCCTCACTCTCACCCTCACTCTCTCCTCTCTCCCTCCACCCTCTCTCTCTCACCTCCCTCTCCACCTCTCTCCACTCTCCTCACCTCCCTCTCACTCTCTCCTCTCTCTCCTCCTCTCACCTCTCTCCTCTCTCTGGTCTCTCCCTCTCCCTCACTCTCCCTGGTCCCTCTCTCTCTCTCTCCTCTCTCTGGTCTCCTCTCCTCTCCTCTCCCCTCTCTCTCCTCTCACCCTCCTCTGCATCTCTCTCCCCTCTCTCTCTCCCTCTCCTCCTCTCCTCCTCTCTCTCCCTCTCTCCTCTCTCCCTCTCTCCTCTCTCTCCCTCTCTCTCCTCTCTCCCTCCTCTCTCCTCTCTCCTCTCCCTCTCTCTCCCTCTCTCTCCTCTCTCCTCTCCCTCTCTCTCCCTCTCCCTCTCTCTCTCCCCTCTCTCTCCTCTCTCTCCTCTCCTCTCTCTCTCCTCTCTCCCTCTCTCCTCTCCCTCTCTCTCCTCTCTCCCTCTCTCTCTCCCTCTCTCTCTCCTCTCCTCTCCTCCCTCTCCCTCTCCTCTCCTCTCTCTCCCTCTCCTCTCTCTCCCTCTCCTCTCTCTCTCCTCTCTCTCTCCCTCTCTCCTCCTCTCTCTCCTCTCTCCTCTCCTCCTCTCTCTCCTCTCTCTCCTCTCCTCCTCTCTCTCCCTCTCTCTCCTCTCCTCTCTCCCTCTCCTCCTCTCCTCTCTCCCTCTCCTCTCCTCTCTCCTCTCTCCCCTCTCCTCTCTCCTCTCCTCTCCTCTCTCTCCTCTCCTCTCCTCTCTCCTCTCTCTCTCCCTCTCTCCTCTCTCTCCTCCTCTCTCCCTCTCTCTCTCTCCTCTCTCTCCTCTCTCTCCCTCCTCTCTCTCTCCTCTCTCCCTCCTCTCTCTCCCTCTCTCTCCTCTCCTCCTCCTCTCCCTCTCCTCTCTCTCCTCTCTCCTCTCCTCTCTCTCCCTCTCTCCTCTCCCTCTCTCTCTCCTCTCTCTCCTCTCCTCGTCCCTCTCCCTCTCTCTCCTCTCTCCCTCTCTCTCCCTCTCTCCTCTCCCTCTATCCTCTCTCCCTCTCCTGGTCTCCTCTTCTCTCTCTCTCCTCTCTCCCTCTTGGTCTCTCCCCTTCTCCGCTCTCCTCTCCTGGTCTCTCTGTACTCTTCTCCGCTCGCCTCTCTCCTCTCTCTCTCTCACTCTCTCCCTCTCTCCTCTCTCTCACTTTCTCTCTCCCTCTCCTCTCTCCTGCTCTCTCTCTCTCCGTCTCTCTCTCTGGTCTCTCCTCTCCCTCTCTCTCCCTCTCCTTCTCTCTTCTCCTCTCTCCCTCACCTCTCTCCTCTCTCCTCTCTCTCCTCTGGTCTCTCCTCTCTCCTCTGGTCTCTCTCCCTCTCTCTCTCGGTCTCTCCCTCTCTCTCTCTCTGGTCTCTCTCCTCTCTCTCTCTCATGGTCTCTCTCTCTCCTCTCCTCTCCTCTCTCTCTCCCTTCTCCTCTCCCTCTCCTCTCTCGGTCTCTCCCTCTCTCTCTCCCGCTCTCCTCTCTCTCCTCTCTCTATTGGATCTCTTCCTCTCTCTCTCTTAGGGTCTCTCCTCTCTCCTTCTCTGGTCTCTCCCTCTCTCTCTCTTCTCGCCTCTCTCTCTCTCTCTCTCTTGGTCTCTCCCTCTCTCCTCTCTGGCTCTCTCCTCTCTCTCTCTCTGGTCTCTCCTCTCTCTCTTGGTCTCTCTCCCTCTGGTCTCTCCTCTCTCTCTATGGGTCTCTCCCTCTCTCTCTCTGGTCTCTCCTCTCTCTCTCTGGGTCTCTCCCTCTCTCGCTCTGGTCTCTCCTCTCTCTCTCTCAGGTCTCTCCTCTCTCTCACTCTGGTCTCTCCCTCTCTCTTCTCTCTCCCTCTCTCTCTTGAGTCTCTCCTCTCTCTCTCTGGTCTCTCCCTCTCCTCTCTGGTCTCTCCCTCTCTGGTCTCTCCCTATCTCTCCTCTCTCTCTTCTCCTCTCTCTCTGGTCTCTCCCTCTCTCTCTCCTCTCTCCTCTCTCTCCTCTCAGTCTCTTCTCTCTCTCTCACTCTCTCTCTCCTCTCTCCCTCTCTCTCTCCTCTCTCTCTCTGGTCTCCTCCCTCTCTCTCTCTGGTCTCCTCTCCTCTCTCTAGGTCGTCTCCCTCTCTGGTCTCTCCTCTCTCCTGGATCTCTCTCCTCTCTCTCTCTCTCTCCTCTCTCTCTCTGGTCTCTCTCTCTCTCTGGTCTCCCCTCTCTCTCTCTGGTCCTCTCCCTCTCTCTCTGGTCTCTCCCTCTCTCCTCTCTGGTCTCTCCTCTCTCTCTCTGGGTCTCTCCCTCTCTCTCTGGGTCTCCCCGCTCTCTCTCTGGTCTCTCTCACTCTCTCTCCTGGTCTCTCCTTCTCTCTGGTCTCTCCCTCTCTCTCTCTCTCTCCCTCTCTCTCTGGTCTCTCTCACGCTCGTCTCTCTGATCTCTCCCTCTCTCTCCTCTCTCTCCCTCTCTCTCTGGCTCCCTCCCTCTCCCTCTCTGGTCCCTCCCTCTCTCTCTCTGGTTCTCTCCTCTCTCTCTCTCTGGTCTCTCCCTCTCCTCTCTCTCATGGTCTCTCCCTCTCTCTCTCATGGTCTCTCCCTCTCTCTCTCTGGTCTCTCCCTCTCTCTCTCTGGTCTCTCCCTCTCTCTCTCTGGTCTCTCCCTCTCTCTCTCTAGTCTCTCCCTCTCTAGTCTCTCCCTCTCTCTGGTCTCTCCTCTCTCTCTCTGGTCTCTCCTCTCTCTCTCTCTGGTCTCTCCTTCTCTCTCTCTCTGGTCTCTCCTCTCCTCTCTCTTGGTCTCTCCCTCTCTCTCTCTGGTCTCTCCCTCTCTCTCTATGGTCTCTCCCTCTCTCTCTCTGGTCTCTCCCTCTCTCTCTCTGGTCTCTCCCTCTCTCTCTCTGGTCTCTCCCTCTCTCTCTCTTCTGGTCTCTCCCTCTCTCTCTCTCTGGTCTCTCCCTCTCTCTCTCTCTGGTCTCTCCTCTCTCTCTCATGGTCTCTCCCTCTCTCTCTCTCTTCTGGTCTCTCCCTCTCTCTCTCTGGTCTCTCCCTCTCTCTCTCTCTGGTCTCTCCCTCTCTCTTACTCTCTGGTCTCTCCCTCTCTCTCTCTCTGGTCTCTCCCTCTCTCTCTCTGGTCTCTCCCTCTCTCTCTGGTCTCTCCCTCTCTCTCTCTGGTCTCTCCCTCTCTCTCTCTGGTCTCTCCCTCTCTCTCTCTGGTCTCTCCCTCCCTCTCTCTGGTCTTCCTCACCTGATGCCCCAGTTGTCGAGCAGGTCTTGCCGCATGGCTTTGGTCACACAGAGGTGATGAGAGGCCAGAGGTCCACACACACGTTCGTACCTACAGACAGGAGAACACGGAGTCAGTTTTAGTCCTCACAAACCTGTAGGGTCAGTTCTAGTCCTCACCAGAGAGCGAGCCTGACCAGGGGGTGTGTCGCTCCGTGGTTCAGAGCCATGATGCTGTAGCCGTAGTTGTGCCAGTCCATAATGAAGCTGCATCTGCGAACTGCACTCACCAACCAGGTCACTGCGATGGCGGGAAGACCAGGTGGATTCTGGGAAATAACACAGGGTCAGAGAGAGTGTGAGAGAGTGAGAGAGAGAGACCACAGAGGCAGACCACAGAGGCAGACCACAGAGGGAGACCACAGAGGCAGACCACAGAGGCAGACCACAGAGGCAGACCACAGAGGGAGACCACAGAGGCAGACCACAGAGGCAGACCACAGAGGCAGACCACAGAGGCAGACCACAGAGGGAGACCACAGAGGCAGACCACAGAGGCAGACCACAGAGGCAGACCACAGAGGGAGACCACAGAGGGAGACCACAGAGGGAGACCACAGAGGGAGACCACAGAGGCAGACCACAGAGGCAGACCACAGAGGCAGACCACAGAGGCAGACCACAGAGGGAGACCACAGAGGGAGACCACAGAGGGAGACCACAGAGGCAGACCACAGAGGCAGACCACAGAGGGAGACCACAGAGGGAGACCACAGAGGGAGACCACAGAGGGAGACCACAGAGGCAACAGAACCAGAGGGGGACGAATTTGTTGAACTAAAGTGTGAATTTATAGAAAGCCATTTGATTTAAAAAGAAAACAAGTTGAGGACAAGAGAATCCAAAATCCTCCTGTGAAATATCTGGTTCAGTCTCTGTGTTTACACTGAGGTCTGTGGAGGAGGCTGCAGTACCAGAGTCCACCGCCAGGAGACCACATATCCATAGTCCATTTAACAGAACACACCCGCGATCGAGCGCTGCCAACAGTGAGAAAGCCGAACACACACCTGCAGCAGCACAAAGTCCGGGGTCTGCAGGTTGAGAAGCACCCACAGCAGCTGCAGACTCTGGAGGACGACTTTACTCACGTACTTCAACAGTTTGGGTCCAACTGTAAACAAAACGCAGCGTGAGGCCGGCTCCTGGGGGTGAAATCAATCTGTGATGTCCCCAAACCACAGACACAGAAGCAACAAACTTTCATTGGTGCAGCGAGAAAAACTTAGCAGGATCATAGAGTTTGTGGTGAAGTTTCTACAGAAAGAAGAGACACTGACGAGCTTTTTTACCGACCTGATCAGTGTTTTTTGTCCCATTTCAGATCATGAGACAGAGAGACCCAAAAAGCAGTGACATCACCCTCACCTGTGATCCCTCGGACATCAGAGATCGCCCTGATCTGGATCCTCTTCTCCCGCAACACGTCTGGGTGAGGTTTGGAGTCTGAGGAGAGAAACCCCACATGTTTATCTTGGAAGCAAGATCAGAGCGGGTTGTTTATGGTAATGCTTTGTAACTGTATTTAAGATTCTGGATGAAAATGTGAAAACAAAATGATTCACTCATTGTAAGTGGACGGTCTCTCTCCCCCTCTCTGGTCTCGCTCCCTCTCTCTGGTCTCTCTCTATCTGTATGATTATCAGACTGTTAAAACATCTTTGACAAGATAAACGCGTGGTCTCATCACGCAAGTTACGTAGATAGGTACCCAGGTAGATACTTTTCAGTCACACAGGGAAGTAATACTACACTATATATTCATCAGTGGTTCTGTGTCTCCAAGAAACAGCCTCGCAGCGAGGAAATGCGACGTCGACAGAAAATCTTTACCTAAAAAGCCCACGAAGGTGACGTCATAGCCGTGTTTGCTGAGGGACAGAGCGTGATACTGCATCCGAGGACTGCGCCCGATGTCCCCGAGCACCAGGACACACGCTCTGCCCGGGCTGCGCTCTCCTGTCCCCGGGCTTGTGTGGTGCCCAGGCCCCGAGGAGAGACGCCAGAGCCCCGTCATGAAGGCCACACACACCGCTGTCCATATGAGGCCCGCGGGAAGAGAAGAGACCCGGAGTAAGAGAGCCAGAAGCAGCGCTGAAGCCAAGAGAAGACACAAGAGACGAAAGAGGCTGACTCCAGGCGCCATGTTTGTTTGGGTCTGTTATGCGCGGGATGATGACGTTTACAGAGAGGATTTAAAGAGACAGGGTGCGTTTTTAATTTAGGTTTTGCCAGAATCCCACTTAACCATCCTTCTTCAAACTTTGACATTCATTTTGTTCTAATTTTGTTGACATTGCAGGGCAGATTATAATGAAATACATACTGGAGATGTACCTCAGCAAATACAGTACGAACTCTGTATACAACCCATGTATACTATATAAATACTACTATACACTATACTATATATACAACTGTACCTATAATACTTTTTTTCCATCAAGACGCTCAATAAATAATTTTCTGCTCAATCACAGTTTGAGTCTCTGTCAGAGTTTTTGTCCGAGTCTTAGTACAACTGTTGCGTTCATTTTCATGAACGCTTTAAAACGATGTATCAAATGAACAAACACAAACTCATTTTTTTTTTCAAGTTTCCGTGTTTAAATTCAGTGTTTTGCCAAAGATATTGTGTTTTGTTTTTCGATTAAGACAATGTGTTTTGGTCTGAACCATTGTTACTTTAAAAAGACTGATTTATTTATGGGGGAAAGTTCGTACCCGACCTTTAAAGCCCGTTGTTTACATATTTAAGCTCCGCCCCTGCATCACCACGTGCTCTCTCACTGCGGCAAGCTTCGGCTGCGTCAGACTTCACACACACAAACAAACACTCCATCTTTCACCTTCCTCCTCGCTACGTCACAAACTTCACTTAAGTGGACAATAAACACATTTCACAGCGTGTGTTCGGATCGTGGAGTTTACACTTTATCATAAAGTCAGGTTTGAGAGAAGGAGGGAGGAGCAAGGAGCAGGAGGAGGAGCTGAGAGTGGATCTGGACGCACCCTCCCAGCGGAGCCAGCGGAGCCAGCGGAGCCTACCACAGCAGAGCGTCACTATGGCGGCCTGGGGGCTGCTTCTCTCCGCGGTGCTCGGTCTGGTGGTCCGCGGGGAGGTGATCGATGACGTCCTGAACAGTCTGACCCGCGGAGTGGACTTCCTGGAGCGACAGCACTCACAGATCAATCTGGATGGAGTCGTGGGGTTCCTCATGATGCAGGGTGAGTCCCGGGACAGAGACCAGAGTGAGACCAGAGTGAGATCAGAGTGAGACCAGAGTGAGACCAGACCAGAGTGAGACCAGAGTGAGACCAGAGAGAGAGAGACAGTAAAAAGTCTCAGTATCATTTGTTTTCACTTCATATAACTGTTGACGATACAGAAACAGTTTGATCGTTGTGTCTGTGTGTGTTTAAAGTATGGGATGCACCGAAAGCCCAAGATGGTCAAAAAAAACAATACGCAAATTTGTGGCCACAATATAGCTATATCATGCGTACAACATTTTAATTTGTGGCCACAAAATATGTGTAAACAGAAAAAAAATTATAATTGTTTTTCTTTTTAGATATAATGTGGGTATCGGTTACAGGTATCGGTTGCAGGCATCGGGTCCTATGCACAGACTGTAAATATTAAGTCCTATGGTATGAGTACAAGCCTATGTTATCGTCATTACAGTCTATATCTGCCCGTCCGTGTATCCCCAGTTTAAAGTCTTTGTTTTGGAATCCGAGAATAACATTTGGACACACAGCTGAAAAAACAAATCCCACTGAGAAGGAAATATTCAGGATCAGAGACCAGAGAAAGAACAGAGCGAGACCAGAGAGAGACCAGAGAGAGAGATAGACCAGAGAGAGACTAGAAAGAGACCAGAGAGAGAGACTAGAGAGACTAGAGAGAGACAGACCAGAGAGAGACCAGAAAGAGAGACTGGATAGAGACCAGAGAAAGACCAGAAAGAAAAGAGAAATATGTGTTTTCTAAAAGCATGTGTCATGCCGTGAGTACATACTGTCCATGTGGTGTGTGTGAAAGTTCAGCACTGGCTGAAAGAAAAACATGTTTTTCACATGCATATCTGTCCATTTTAAAGCTGAAGTACGTAACATTCAAACCACAAGTTAGTTTAGTCCAGGGGTGCTCAATACGTCGATCGCGATCTACCAGTCGATCGCAAAGGTAGTATTGGTAGATCGCATTAAATAAATGAAAAAATTACACATTCTAAACAAATATATACAAAAAACTCCGGGCAAAGTGGAGATTTTTGAAAACTCCGTTAATGCATTTGTGTGTAAACAGAGATAACCGGAGTTTTGCGTTCTCGCACGCCACAGTACCCCCCTAAATTCCTCTGATCACTGAAGCATGGATCATACTACCTTAAAAACTGTTCGCTGTGAGATGCTCGCAGCAGCGAACACCCTCGCTCCACATCAGAGAGCAGCAAAGTGATCGCGGGGACTCACGCTCGAAAACAACCAAACCAGGACTAAACCAGGACTAAACCAGGGCTAAACCAGGACTAAACCAGGACTAAACCAGGACTAAACCAGGACTTAACCAGGACTAAACCAGGACTAAACCAGGACTTAACCAGGACTAAACCAGGACTAAACCAGGACTAAACCAGGACTAAACCAGGACTAAACCAGGACTAAACCAGGACTAAACCAGGGCTAAACCAGGGCTGAGGACGGGGTCAGTGCTTGTAAACATACGTCTTTACTCTGAGTGTCTTCTATGACTGTAAAAGTACCGTTACCGGCGTCTGCATCAAAGCTCCGCCCACTTCTGTGTTTTTCCCCAACGCAGGACAGGACGTAAGAGACGCACATGTTTGGAATGTTACGAACGTGATTGATAACGCAGATGTGTGGATGCAAATTATTTTATAAACTGAGGAGGGGAAATATTTGGATTTAAAAAAAACAGGCATGGCACATGGACATGGCACCACAGTCAAATGACATCTGTGTTTTACTCAGTAATGTTTTACTGACACTTAGGTGACTGCACATGCGCAAACAACCGCGCTCAGTGCAGGAAAGCTCAACCACGACAAACTTGTCAGCGAGTTACCACCAATTTTCCGGACTATGCATCCCTGGCCGATTCAATTCAGTGCAAGTCATCAGAGTAAACTCGGGTAATGACAAAAAATGTACATAGGTAATTGTGTTGTGTTGTGTTATATTGGCTCATGCAGTTTTGCATGTACATAAACATACATTGTAGGTATACAGAATATTTTTTGAAATAAATATATGATTTGCATTTTTGTAGTAGGTAGATCATTTTGACTTGATCCTTTTATAAGTAGCTCGCATGCTGAAAAAGTGTGAGCACCCCTGGTTTAGTCCATTTCACGCTCACAATGAAAAAGTGAATATTATCTACAACAACAAAAACAGTGGTCGTAAGACCAGAAAGATACTTCCCTTTCTTATTTGGAAAATACCACCACTAAAATTGTGAATTTGATTCCATAGTGATTATCGCGCCCTAGTCCATTGTTATTGTGTGTCTGCTTGTCTGTCATGTGTGTATCCCTCTAGCGGAGCTGAAGGCGGCGGTCCAGTCCTGGCCTCACTCAGACCCGGTCAGCTGGGCTCAGAGAGGGCGAGCCGTGGTCCTAGTCCGAAGACTGGAACTCAGTCTGGAGCGAGCCGTGGCTGCCCTGAAGCAGAACGACCTGGACTATTACAGAGGCAAGAATCACAGATCTCTCTCTTTTAGTCCAATTTAATTACAGAGAACAAGAAGCATGTAAACCCGATCTATGATTTTTTTTAAACTCATAAGTATGTTTCTTATTGCGCTCCAGGGGTGTAGAGTAAGGTGGTGCAGCCGGTGTGCTAAGAGCTGTGTGCCCCACAGATGCCCCTTATGCAATGCGCAGATTGGCACCGGGTCCTTGTGCAACGGTTTGGTCAGACGCCAGACTTTATGTAAGAAAAAAAACGATGTCTAGAATCACTGTAAAACCTGCTGCTCCTCCTGCTGATGTTTAGACACAAGTGCTGTGTGTGTGCAGATGCGATCTAGAGCCAAGGGCCGCTAGAAAAATCATGTTTTACATGAGATTTCAATTGGAGACGCGTTGGTGCGCGCACAAAATTAGAAATCCATCCTAAATGAGCGCAGCTTCGCGTCATACGTCCGTCATACACACGTATAACGCTAGAAGTGTAAATATCATCATAGGTTAACATGGAAAAAAGTAACGCGCGTCTGCTGCGTGTATAACGCGTACGTGCTGTAACGCCTCATGTGTAAATTAGCAGTGACAAATACATTTAAGTTTAAATGGACTACATTAAAAATTTAAGTGGACTTTTTATAGAAAGTGGCAACCCGTGCGTTAATGCCCCCAGCCATGTGTGACACCCAGCGCGTTTTACAAGTTTACTACAGTCTAGCAACTATTTTAAATGTGTTGGCCTAATTACTAAGTATGTTTTAGAAAAAATTTAAACGTCAACAAAATCAAAAGTTTCATAGCCTGTACTTGAACCCGGGTCCTCTCACACCAGAGTCTAGCTCCTTATCATTGAGCTATAACGCCACAGAAAATTGTCTGGTGAATAGAGAACAATGAGCGGTGAGAAGCCAATGTTCCTAACCCTGCTCACAAGTGCCACCTGGTGGTTGTTTGGGTCATTGCAGCATCACTGGGGGGGGGGAAATAAAAGACGCGTGTTTCACACGTGAGTCTCGTGCTATTCATGCGTGAAAGGCGACAAAACGAAATGGGACCTACTTTATGTGATGTACTTTTGATTTCTAATACTGTGCAGAGAAAGAGTGGGGATAATAGGGTCCAAAAGTGCTTGTAAAATTCAGGGGGGTATCCATCTGGTCCTGGCGCTTTATTGTTGGGCATATGAATAAGGGATTTATGTAATTCTTGGATAGTTAGCGGAGCGTCTAGACTTTCGGCAAAATTGAGTGGGAGTTTTGGTAATGTTAGGTTTTGGAAAAAGGAATTTATATTTTCAGGGTTGGGTTCTGCTTGGGCAACAACCTTTTTAGAGAGAATTTTCAAATTTTCATGTGAGTAAAAGGCTGGGCACTTGTGTTTAGTTTTCCTTTAACCCTGGATCAAATCATTTCTACAGAGTTTCTGCTCTCTCTGGTCTCTCACAGCACTGGTCTCCCTCTGGTCTGTCTCTGGTCTCCCTCTGGTTTCTCTCTGGTCTCCCTCTGATCTTTCACAGTCCTGGTCTCTCCCCAGAGTTCGAGCCCCTGATGTCCTGGAGGTTCTGGCAGGTTCCTGGGTCCTGGATCTCCACTGACCCAAGTCTGGTCTACTCCTCCACTCTGAGCTCCGAGTGCTACGACGAAAATCTGAGCGATAAGTGTCTCACGCTGCTGCTGGGAACCTGGTGAGGACCATCAACACCACCATCATCTGATCAGGAATACAGCAGGTCTAAAGCAGGTCTAAAGAAGGTCTAAAGCAGGTCTAAAGAAGGTCTAAAGAAGGTCTAAAGAAAGTCTAAAGCAGGTCTAAAGAAGGTCTAAAGCAGGTCTAAAGAAGGTATAAAGAAGGTCTAAAGCAGGTCTAAAGCAGGTCTAAAGAAGGTCTAAAGAAGGTATAAAGCAGGTCTAAAGAAGGTCGAAAGCAGGTCTAAAGCAAGTCTAAAGAAGGTATAAAGAAGGTCTAAAGCAGGTATAAAGAAGGTCTAAAGCAGGTCTAAAGAAGGTCTAAAGCAGGTCTAAAGCAGGTATAAAGAAGGTATAAAGAAGGTCTAAAGAAGGTATAAAGAAGGTCTAAAGCAGGTCTAAAGAAGGTCTAAAGCAGGTCTAAAGCAGGTCTAAAGAAG